GCTATTTCACTGATTTGGAACATGTATATGCAGTTCTAGGCTTCTAGCTAGATGGATTAATAGATATGTTGGACCTATGCATTTTATGTTACCCGCATGGATCTATGTTTATTATTTGATGCTCCTCCTTATCCTGGGGAAGAATTTTTGCAAAGAGTTGTCTTTTTTGGAGATATGGATTTGTTGTCACTTCAGCAGTATCCTTTAAGTGCTACAGAGTATGCTGTGAAATTAGATTAGATTGATGATTAGCGATTAACTATAGAACTGTTGGCAGCACCAGTTTAACATATGTTGATTTCTGGCCCATCTTTATTTGCTTTCGAGTTAAACTATGAATTTGAAAACAAAAAAATTATACATTTGTTGATGCTAAATTTATCAGTCCTTTTGTTTTGATAATCACCTCCTGCATATGTGTTCCTGGGTAGTTTTCGTACTGCCACAGCTTGGTTGTTTTGGTAGGATAATGTATTTTCTTATGGAAAACACGGATGAGTAATTACATGATATATTATTAATATTAAACTATGTTGTTTCTCTGAAACTAACTTTGTATTTCAGCTTTGGAAACTGGTGTTCTAACGTTAGTTCCGACAAGAGGGCCACAATAACCACCAACTGGTCTGAGTTTCGTCGCCGTGCCAACATTCACGAAGGTTCGTTTCAGGATCACTTCAAAGCGCCGCCTGGTTTTCACCGTGCACCGCCTCTAAATGCACCATCGAAGACATTGCAGCCCCTGTGTCAATATAATCTAGCACTAAGTACTCGTAATTATGCTCTATCTTGTGATAACCTATGGTTTGCTTTTGGCCCTATCACAAAGTGCACTATTCTCAATCAGATGTTTCATGTACAGATCCATAATGCCCTTTCTCTGTATATATATTTCTATTTCTACTGTTAAGTTTGTTAACTAAAACAATCATCCCAAACGCTAACTAGAATAGGAAAGAGTGTTAAAGGGTCAGCTACAACCAGGCACCGCTCAGCTCCCCCTCAATAGTCTATATGATAGACATGTGTATTACTGCAGGATTTGGCCAGGGACACTTTTTAGGTAGCTAACTCTCGGGGTTCCAATCGCCCGTGCACGTATTGGATGGTGTCCGTGATTTCCTGAGAGATGGAGGTTCACCTTTTCTCTCTTGGTTCTTTTGTTCTTTCATGTTTGCTGCAGTTTCATGCGTGCAAGCAGCCGGGAGAAAACGTGGATCAAGTACAAGTGGTATTGGTAATTATGTGTGCAAGCAACGTTCTTTTCCTAAATTAGACATTTTTTCGATAAAGGGCTTTTCGTTGAATTTAAATATCGAGTTGATACAGACGCATCAAAGATCACCCGGCCTCTGCATAGCTAGATGCACACAGCCAA